GTTCGTGAAGCAAGTCCCAATATTTTAAGGCATTCATTCAACAATCCTTCTAGAGGACAAAGAGAGGAGGTATATTCTCTTGTAAAGAAGGGAAGAGTTAATGATGCAGTGGACTTGCCAAGAGAATGGTGAATTATGCAGGGAGGTTATTTGCCCTTTGATGATTGATATTGTTGCCCTTTATTCAGATAGAGAGGTTCGACCCCTCAAAGTACCAATCCCCAAAGATGTAATAAAACATTTATTTATTGGACGATACCGTGCGAAAGAAGTGGCTAGTTGTCTTGATCTCTTTTCTCCCCATTTTTTTAAAAGTGTTTATAATCATATGTCCACTACAGATGATACGGAAGAAGGATGTGGAGTCCTAGTTTGATACAGTATTGGATGATTGGAATGCAGAGTTTGTGAAGGTTAAATATCTGCAAGGGAAATATAAACGAAAGATGAATACAAAAATTAAAGAGATATTAGTATTGAAGAGCCAACTAGCAGAGTGTCTAGCTGAGCTGACGATGATATCTACTACTATTTTCCTTCAAAATCGGGAGGCTGATCGCTTTCGCACCGAGTTGATTGATGCTCGTACAGAGACTAATCAGAAGAATAAAGTCTTAAAGGCACTTGCAGCGGAGAAGAACGCCTTTTAGATAGTGAATAAGTTACATTATCACCTTTTGGATAAAGAGGTGGTCATATTAGATGTAGATGCCCATACAGAAGTCATATCACTGAATGTTATAGAAAAATTCAAGAGGTCTTCAGCTCATTGTCAAGAGATACAGAATCACGTCCAAGAGGCTTATAATAAGCTATTTGATGTTGAGGCAAGGGATTTGGAGCATCGGTGCCTTGAGGAAAGCTTTATTCGTAGTTTTTTAAAAGGTGCTCGATTGGTATAACGCAATACATGGTTTACGATCGAAAGGCTATCTCCCAGCTAGGCCTCCAAAGACTTCTCTCCAGGCTTAGATGATGATGATGTTGAAAGTGAGCTGAGGAATACCTTCTCCAGTGATGATGAGGGTATTGAAATCATTTAGCAATGCACGATTGAGATCTATATAAATCTCCCTTTAAGAAATACTCTCCAAAAGCCTGAGACATCTGGAAGATTAATCAAGCGGTCGGTGGAATTGGGAGAGTTTGATATCCGTTTTCTTTCTAAACCCGATATAAAGTCAATAAGATTCTATATCGTAACCCATATTAGACACTATATGTTGATGGAGCCTCTAGAAGTTCTGACGCTGGAATCTTATTGATCTCTCCACAACAAGTTACTTTCGAATATGGGCTTCGACTAAAGTTTCCTGCTATAATTGACTTGATGTTGGGTCTAGGAAGAAAATGGATGTCAAGCTCTCTCAATTCCACTAACCACATGATTAATCTTCCATGTCTCAGGCTTTTGGAGAGTATTTCTTAATGGGAGATTTATATACATCCCAATCGTGCATTGCTAAATGATTTCAATATCCTCATCATCACTGGAGAAGGTCTTCCTCAGCTCACTTTCAACATCATATTATCTAAGTCTGGAGTAAAGTCTTCGGAGGCCTGGGTGGGAGATAGCCCTTCGATTGTAACCCCTGCCTTTCACTGCTCAATCGAGCACCTTCTAAAAAACTACGAACGAAGCCTTCCTCAAGGCACCAACGCTCCATATCTCTTGCCTCGGTATCAAATAGCTTATTATAAGCCTCTTGGATATGATTCTAGATCTTTTGATGATGAGCTGAAGATTTCTTGAATTTTTCCAGAGCTTTCAGTGATATGGCTTCTGTACGAGCATCTACATCTAGTATGACTGCCTCTTTCTCCAAAAGATGATCTTGTAACTCTTTATTCACTATTTCAAGGGCACTCTTTTCCGTTGCAAGTGCCTTTAAGACTTCATTCTTCTTATTAGTCTCTTTACGAGTCTCAATTAATTCGGTGTGAGAGCGATCAGTCTCCCGATTTTGAAGGGAAAGAGTGATAGATATTGTCGTCAGCTTAGCTCGACACTATGCTAGTTGATTTTCTAATGCTGACATCTCTTTAATCTTTGCATCCAACTTTCATTCATACTCTCATTGTAGATATTTAACCTTCACAAATTCTGCATTCCACTCATCTAGTACTGTGTCAAACTAGGACTCCACATTCTTCTTCCGCATCATATGTAGTGACATATGATTATGAACACTTAAAAAAAAGGGGGGAGGGAGAAGAAAAAGAGTTCAAGACAGCTAATCACTTATTTCGCACATTGTCATCCAATACATACATGTTTTAATACCTCTTCGGGGATTGGTATTTTGAGGGGCCGAACCTCTCTATCTGAATTAAGGGCAGCAATATCGATCATCAAAGGGCGAATGACCTCCCTGTATATTTCATCATTGCTTGGCAAGTCCACTGCATTATTCTCTCTTCTATTCTTTACAAGGGAAGATTCCTCATCTCCTTGTCCTCTTGAAGGATTATTGGATGAAGACTTTAAAGTAGTGAGATTTGCTTCACGAATCTTCTTAGACTTCTTCAACTGAACTGCATGAGATCTTCTCGCGTGAATAGAAAGATCAACTTTAAAAAGTATTTCCTCCAACACATACTGACTAATATGACGTAACTCCTCCTGAAAATTCTTCGTGTCAGAAAAATTAAGAGTTTTCAATATCTCCTCCTCTTTTAGGTGTGGGGAGTCTGACAGCTCCTTTAACCTCCCACATTTTTTTGAAAGTCCTCAATCATTCTTCACAAAAAAGAACGAGCTGGACCAATTCTTAGAAGGATCGTGTGTTGAAAAATCTATCCACTTTCTACCTCTACATAAAACACACTCTTGAAAATTGCTTGTAAGCCTGAATTGGTCAACAGTCAGCCTGACACCGTGCTCCTTTTAAAAAAATGTCAAGCCCATAATGATCGTAACCGTGCTGCATAAGAATTGGGCCAAGAGGATGTCGCATGTCCTAAAAATCTCGAGCAACTCAGAGGCTAGAGGAAACCTCAAACCTACACGCAATGTCACATCGTACACTGTGATAAACCCATTTGGAGGATCTCGTGCTCGATCAGTCTTTTTCGGAACAGTCATCACTAAGTCATTGGACAGATGAAATTTCTTACGAATAACAATCAAGTCATTCGAAGTAATTGATGATGAAACATCATTAATTAATATCGATCTCCTACTCTCATTGATCTCCATAGTAAGAGGAGCTCGCACCTGCTTAATCACTTCATGAGTAGAAGGAACAACATATAGCATATCTAGCGGATTGTTGTCTGGAGGAGCATATATAAATGAAAAGATAATGCTTGAAGATTAATACGATGATAATATGAAAGATAGGAGGGAAAAAAATATACATAGAATATCGTGTTGGTTATTTAAAACTCTACTTCTATCAAATGAGTTAGAATCACTATTTTGGGTACTATTCAGGGCTCCGTCACCTCTAGCTGATGACATTTGCCTCCCAACAGGGGAAAATTGCAGCAATCGGGTCTTGATAGCCTCCGCCACCGGTATTTAGACTATTGCAGGGCAGTTTTTCTCCCGCTATGAGTGAATTGGTGCATGCATAAGAGTAAGACTTTGATCACCGTCACTAGTATTTAAACTCTTGCTGGACAATTTTTCCCCCAATAGGAGTGAATTGGAGTCTGCGTAAGAGTATCGTACCTTGATCTCCGCTTCTGGTATTTAAACTCTTGTTGGGCAGTTTTTTCCACACTAGGAGTGAACTAGATATTGCCACAACAAAAAAATTTAAATTTTTGCCAGTCTGATTTCTCCTAAAATTGTAGGAGAAATTTGTTGACCAGCTAAAAGAATTAGTGCCTCCTCCTTAGCCCCTATGGGGGTATGTATAGCTTTTTAAAGGAGCTTTGGAGAGAATTTATAAATTTTTCAATAATTTTCAAAATTTTTGACATTAAATAATAAAAAAATTATACAATAGTTATAAATTTTACCATTAATCTGAAGTTATATAATAGTTATAAATTATGCCATTAATATGAAGTTATACAATAGTTATAAATTCTGTCATTAATCTAAAGTTATACAATAGTTATATAAAATGGCTTTATATTTATATAAACGTTATTATAATAATTATATAAGTTAACTATATTAATTATATCAGTTAACGTTATTATATCTTTATTATAACTTGTATAATTATAACATTATTATAACTTATAACTTATTCTAACTTTATTATGACGTTATTATAACTTTATTATAACTTGTATAATTATAACGTTATTATAACTCTGTTATAACTTATTATAACTTTATGATGACATTATTATAACTTTATTATAGCTTATATAATTTAATAATTTTATTATATATAACATTATTATAATAATAATATAAGTTAACTATATAACTTTAATATATCTGGTGGAGATGCGAGGTGTAAGTTAACTATAATAACTTTATTATAACGTCTCTCAACAACTGATGTTATAACTGAAATCTTTGGGAAGTGGGATATCCATGTCCAAAAGCACTTAAAATTTTTTCTGGAACCCACATGCTATCTATATAAATTTTTGTGTGTGTATATGTATATTCAGTTTATAAATTTATTCTGTAGTTTTCCAAAGAGCAAAAGAGTAATTATCTTTTCATTTGTGAGTTTTTAATCTTTTATCGATTGTTCTAAACTATTTGGTGCTGAAACATTGTCTTCAGGACAAAACAACCTCCTTAAATCCTTTATTTTAATCTGGAATTAGTTGGCGCATTGATACCATTTAGATTTGTCATATCATTTCATGTTATTCTTGAAGATTTTGTTAATGATACATTTTTGCCATTAGTTTTTAGTAAAATGATTTTTATCTACCATGGTAATAGAACCCAGAAATAACGCCATGCTCAACTTGTTTCCCCATGTGCAAACAAGGCCAAGGCTATGCTTTTTTGAAAGCTGTATAATGTCTTTGCTCTCAATCATTTTTCTAACTTCAATATGTGCAGAATTTACTTTCAGAGCTGGAATAATGTATGCATCAAAAGATGTTGAGGATGCTTCACTCAAATCAAATATGTTCTCCCTAGGTGGCACAGAATTTTTTGGTGCGGTCAATCGTAGCATAAATTTGGGTTAGCTCTGTCTCCACAATTTAAAACTTATTCCTTCTGTTACATAAAGTAATTGGAGTCCCCTATAATACAATTGATTACATTTGAAATTGTTAGATCCGTTGGGAACTTGGTATTAGGATAATAGAACAAGCATTATGCTTCTAAATAATTAAATTAGGTTGAAAGTATGATGAATGATTCTCAAAATCAACTCAAAGCTATTCAAATCATTTATAAACAGTGTTAGGATTCAAAAGGAGAGTACAAGGAATTTACTGCTGCAAGTTGTGAATATGTTGATGCTAGTGAGCTTTGAACTCACAAATATGGGTAAAATGTCCGTCATTTAAAGTAATATGTTTTTCTATTTCTGCTCCATACTGAAATCGACTACTATTATGAAAAGTGGGGAGATTTAATAGAATTATGGAAACTATATGCCATTCGATCACTATAATTTTAATTCGTTAAAACTCCCTCGTCGAATAAGAAAAGCGAGCGGAGGCCGGGGCCGAATTTTCGGAGCCCACAAATTTGGAGTGATAATGTTTTCCCTAATCTTGGTTTAAGTTTATTATATCCTTCTAATAATAGGCTCAAGAATTTTCGGGTTTAAAACTTAAAAAATATGAAGTTATTTGACAATCTACAGCTTGAAAGGCTGCAACAAATGGGAATCTTGTTGTTATCTGATTTTGGTACTGCAATTACGAAATCTTTGCATTTTAACCTATTAATACAAAATATTTGCTTTTGAAGCAGTAAAGGAAAAAAGCAAACGATGGGAGGTAAACGTAATGATAGAAGCCAATTTGTAGAAGTGCTGCCTAGTATTAGCACATTTTCACATTTGAAGTACATCATTGCTAGGAAAAATATGTAATATTATAAGATTTAAGATGAGATGAGTTAAATATGCTTGATTACCCAACTATGCCACTATTTTTGTAATAACAAAATATAATGTGAATCATTTCATTGTACACATAGCTAACAAGGAATATCTAGCCTATTCCAAAATAATAGAAAATAATACAATCAGAATTTAGACGAGTGAAATTTTCTGTGCTAATAAGAGGAAATGCAGAAGCTCTTTTCCAAAATTTAAAAATTTAGTCAAATTCGTGATTTTCAATTATTTGGTTACTGCATATAAAGTACGACACTTACCTGTTTGTACCAACTATTGGAGCAAAACAAGAATGAAAGTTTTGGCATTGAAATCAGCATCATCATCAAATTTTATACCAATAACATTTTTATGAAAATGGCTTCACCATTTTACCTATGGAGTGCATTCTAAATTTAATTTGCACATATCTAGGTAAAAATGTTCTTCCTTGTTCTGTCCTCTTAGGAAGCAACTGGTTCGATGGTCTTCTCTCGCATGTTGTTTTCCAAAATTTTGTAAGAATACATGTTGATTCTATCCAGCTGTATTCAATTTTTGTAAAATTCATTTCTTTCAGGAGGACAAAGCGCTTTTGCTTTAAGGTTGCTTCTGGCAGTTTTCTCTTCAAAGATTTCATTAGGAGCAAAGGGATCTTTTGGAGAGGAGGTTGGCTTAGATCATTCCACTTTTGAAAAATTGAGCTATTGAATTTCTGACTGGATTAAAGTTCAGTAGATTAGTGGTTGAATCATTTTTCTCTCCTGTTATTTATAGTTCCGTGCTGCTCGAAAATCTTCAGAGGAGGTTGGGGCTCAGATTGTTTTGGGGGATCGTCCAATTGAAATAACTGTATGCAGTCTGTTAGCAAAATTTTTAAAATATTTAAATTAACCTCAATTCTCATAGCTCAGATTATGCCCCATCTCACTCACAACTACTATCCTGTCTAACTGGAAAGTGCTCCTCTATGCTGGTGAAGTACAAACTTAAAATAACCCAATTATTTCTCTTTTGACAGCTTGAAAGGGCATGGAATTCTCTTGTAAGGACTGAGAAGCTGAGATTGGTAATCTCACTATTTCGAGGCATCACTTCATCAACTATTAATATCTCTGAAAGTAACTTTAAGGTTGTTCTTTCCTACCCCTTCTCATTTTCTTGCCAAGTTTTATGCATCTGTTTTTGTTTCATTTAGTTCTTGTTATTGTTTGTCTCTATTCCGTACTAATTTAAACTTGTACGTGGTTTCTGATTTTCTTAAATTCTTTTTTCTGTATCTTTTAAGAAATTCTTAAAAATTCTATTCATGCATCTACATTGTTTTTGATTTATTACCAATAGATTTTACAATTACTTTAGATACGCTTTTTAAGTTCATTGGGATTTAAGTGCTATTTAATAAGCTGGAAGCTTTCTTAAACAAAATTTTCTTTTTTTATTTACTTTTCTATTTTCAAGAAATGGAAATCTTATTTAATATTTATATTGACTTTTTCTTAAAATATTTCTAATACAGGGTATATAAGATCTTTATGCTGAAGGTATTAACTTGATTAATGTCCCCTTTGGATAGTGGTGGAAAGGTTATTTGGACGATGATGAAATGGATATTTAGGGTTTGGATAGATTTGGTGCTGAAATTTTTAGGCAATTAAAGAGCATGTTTTCTTTGGAGAAAAATTGTGAAGAAATTTGTATCAAATGTATTGGGCATTAGGGAACTAATATTGATATTTTTATGAATTTTGAATTAGTGGTTAAGGAGTTAATGAAATTTTTAATCTGATTGCTCATAGTAGAAAATTATCTTTCTATATCATGATTTTAGTTTAGGGTATTTTAGGGTTCTTGGGGAGTTGAAGTCTTAGAAGGTCATGAGATATGTAAAAGAATATTTGGGAGAGTTTTGAGGAGGTTGGATGTGTTTTGGAGTTGAGGGAAATTAGGCTTGATACTATATAGATGAGATAAAAATTTTCTCGAGAAAGAGAGGGAATAAGACTGAAAAAAAAATTATGGACTCATCATCCCTAAAAAATTAATCAACAAGCTTCAACGAAGAGTAGAACAACCATCTAGCCACCAAACGTTTTATATGAAATTTGCACAAACAAAAATAAATTTTTTTCAATGAATAAAAAAGTACAAATTAATGACCAATTTATAGATCTTTTTAAGCCTGCACAGCTTTGAGAAATCTTAAGAGCTAATAAAACACTAATAAATTGATTGATAACTTGTTATAGTATAGTGAAAAAGAAAATAAGAGAAATTTAATTAATTTTTGTTAAATCATTTACATAGTAAAATTTTTATTCATTTTCAATAAATTTTTTAGAGCCGCCGGAAAAGTGGACAAGCCGCCGGAAATTCCGCAGAAAAATTCCTATAGAAAAAACAGCCGGAAAAGCGCCGGAAAGCCGTCGGAAACGTGACCGCCGGAAAGCTGCCGGAAAATTCCGCCGGTAATCAGTGATTTTCCTGTAGTGATCCTCATAAGCAATTTATGAAGATTCTTGCATCCTTGACTTGTATGGCCTGCCTAACCATCAAGAGGCCTTAACTTAAGCTTCTTAATTATTCTTCCTATAATTTAAAAAAGATTATGGGTTGTCCATATGCTTATTTGGAGAGTTGTGCATGATGAACTACTCAAATCTTGATAGAGTGCCTTGATCTGTGATTTTTTTTTCTTGACTTTTGTCTTATTGTTGCATCAGTTTCTTGCCTCTTCTATTTTTTTTTTCTCTATTCTAATGTCACCATAAATAGGGATTTGTAAATCTTGCAACCTGATCCCACGGCTCAAATTTGGCACAATGCAATCCAGTTCAATCTTGAGTCAGTTTGGGCTAGCTATAAGATGACTTGATTTGAGCTATGCCTTGCTCATTAATTTAGATCTAAGTTGATCCAAACCAAAACTAGGTTGCATTTTTGATTAATTTAGTCTAAAGCACAAACATATCCATGTAGAGATAGTGAGATACATGCATTTACAGATGCATTAACAAAAGTATAAATACAGGTATTAATGTATGATATATATATATAACCCTATCTGGATTAAATTTGGTTTGATGTAAGTTTGGCTCATTTCAAGACCCTAGTAGGCGGGTTGGCTCATTCATTTTGATTTAAACTTAATTTGAGCTTAAGTTAATCTAATTTTTGAGCAATCTTCAAGTCAAGCTAACAAACCTAATGATTATTAGACGTGATTTCACTCTATTATTGTTTATAATCAGCGTAAACATGCTCTTTAGCCTTCATCTATTTTCTTATTTATCTCCAACGTAATCTAATGATTTGGACTTAACTGAGCAAATAAGTCACATGGTTTACACTTTGGAATACCTTGACAGAATTTACATCGTAGAAGTCCTGATTCTCCCACTTAAGAGGGCATTGGTAAAAGTCTTCGAAAACAGTTAGTCATTTTGATAGAAAAACACACTTTTTTCTTCTCAGAAAAAAGCGATTTCATTTTTGGTTCTCATAGACAGTTGCATGTTTTTGTAGTTATACTTTAGGATACTGTAAAGTTTGGGGATACTAAGATCCAAGATGGAAGAGTCACAATAGTTACTGCTGAAAAGTATTAGCAGACTGTCTGAAAACATGATGGATCATGAGTACTATCTTATTCAATGTGAAAATACCACAGGCTGATTTTATAAATCCTCCTCCATTCATTCTTAATAAGTGTTTATTTGAGGTGTTATGTTTTATAAGTCTTTAACTCTTTATGCACGAGTCTTAATCATTTTATCTTTTATCCCTTACTTTTTCTTACTAATCCCTTCAAATGATTCCATCCGCTCATCCATTTGGAACAACTTTTGACCTCCATTGTAACATGTACTATTCCCTAGCCACTTCAATCTATTTCTATAGTAATGTTTGACTTCCTAAAGAAATCCACAAATAAACCCTCCTTTTTTGTTCCTTATGCCTAAGCTGATGTGAATGTGTCCCTATTAGGAAAAAAAAAAACATGAAAATGGAGTTTTACCTGTTGATTTATTTCGGGCATGAAGTATTACTCTATTTTTTTTCTCATATCCAATAAATCCTACTCCAAATACTCCTTTTAAATTATTATTTCTCTTATATATATTCGAATTTTATTCCACATTCATCTTGATTTTTTGATTTGCTGCATTATCAACTTAACTATCAATGAATTTTTGTTACCCAAATTCAACATAATTCAACATAACTAGTTTAATTATAATATATCAAAATTATTTTTGTAGTCTATGTAAGATTCTCTTTAAACATATCATTCTTGAAGCTGTTCTTCATTTTTAAAAACCAGCTTAATTTTGTAAGTACCAAACTTTGACCATCTAAAGAACGAACAATTATTACGTCCTCCGACCGGACGTAGAGGAACGTCCGGTCGGAGGCAAATTCCCGCCAAAAAACGAGTTGTACCGAGAAAATACCGAGCAATACCAAACAATAACGAAGAATATCATCATTTGAAGACCCAATACCGAGTTATACCGGATTTTACCGAGAAAATACCGAGTTATACCAAAGTTGTACCGAGTTTTTCCCAGAAAAACTCAGTACAACTCGGTATTGGTCTTTAGAGAACGGTATTCCTCATTATTATCAAATAATACCTAGTTGTACCGAGTAAATACCTAATTTTTTGACGGGAAATTGCCTCCGACCGGACGTTCCTCTACGTCCTTGCACCGGACGTAATAAAAGTTCCTAAAGAACTTATGAAAAGGAAGGGTCGAATATCATAGACACATCCATTCCTCATTGCATGTGAGCATTTTTCTGAAAGGTATTTGTTTAGCTTCAATCACTGCTATTTACTGAAGTAGGAGTGATCCAACTAAAACTATAAAGAAGTTGTATATATTTATTTACAAGTTTTGAAGTAGAAAGAAGAACAAAGGCCTTGAAGAAGGAACTACTTCAGAGGATGTTTGGTTAAAAGTAAAGTGGGTGTAAAATTTTTCTAATATAGGAGTTTTAAAAATATTGGTATTTGGTTTGATGGAAAAGGAATGCAAAGTAAAATAAATGTAGTGTAAACTATTTTAGTTCATTTTTGAGGTAAACTAAACTTGCTCAATTTTGAGTGATCACTTGATCGCTGCTGCCGCCAACCACCAGTCACCAGTATTGATGTTTTATTTGTTCAGCATCTGTCTTTTATTAGTTTAGCTGCCCTTATCACAAACTGAAATGTTGCGCCTACCAAATAAAAGTTTCAATGTCAGAGGATGTAGCTATTATTGTTAACTAACGAACAATTGGTACTTGCGTGCTACTAACCTCCAAATTACATTGCCACTAACAATTCACATTTTCTGCGTAGCACAGGAAACAGACATAGATGGAGGTCCATTTCAATTATATCAACAACTGAGCAAATCCTATCCATCTCTTTTGCAGCCTCTCATGTATGAACGTGATACGGTATTGTTCCTTAATCCATCCAGTCTGAATTATCAATAGTCCATGATAGATTGGCAACTAGCGGCATAAAAGAAAACTCGCCTATTTTCATTCATAGCAAGCTAAAATATTGCATGCTCCTCAAAATCCTGCGACTTACAAATTATGATTTGGTCTGTGTTTGCTTTCTCAATACTATGATGCACCGACACACGGACACGTGCCCGACACGGTAGACACATGTGCAATTAAAATAATGTTTAAATTTAGTTCGACACGGTTAGGACACATTTTGGACACGGCTGGGACATGTGTCGGACATGGCTGGGGCACGCATGTCTAATTTATTATGATTATATTATTTTAATTATAAATATAAGATATCCAATGAATTGTTATGAAAGATAACTAGAGAAGTATAGAAGTAAATAGATACATTCTTTGTGATTTAGGTTAGAGGATAAAGAAATATTATGGGAGAGAACTAGCGAACTAGAGAAGTAAATATATACAAAGAAGAACCAACTTTCATTATATGATATCCAATGAGCTATGAAAAATCTTTTTCTTTATGAACCAGAGTTGGAAGCAATGATATTCATTGATGATGATATTGAAGGCCAAAAACAAACCTCTGAAGCTAATCCTAGTTGTTGAAGCTTGAATGCTTGATGTGTTAGTAAGTTGTTATATTACTTATATTTTAATGGTTGTACTAAATATTTTATATTATAAGTTAGACAAGTTATCATACTATTTATTTATTATTATTTGTCAATTTTAATATGATATTACATTAATATCTATACATTATATTAAAAAAATATAATGCCGTGTCCGCGCCGTACCTATATCCTATATTTTCAAAAAAAGTAATGTCCCGTGTCCGTGTCGTGTCATGTCCGTGTCGCCGTGTCCGTATCCGTGCATCATAACTCAATAGTGTAGATCACAAAAACAAAACTTGACATCTATATTGCTTGTGTTTTCCCACAGTATCTTGCATGGTCTTTGAAGAGGAGCAAAGCTGTAAACAACAGCAAGAGGGTGGTGGGTGTTATCGGAAAGGGCCACATGAACGGGGTGGTTTATGCGTTAATATCTGACCAAGGGAACCTTCGATTCCGCGACCTCGCCGGAAGCAAAGCAGGCAGTGGTTCTAATGGTTGGGTGAGTTCTTTACTTAAGAGCTTAGTTAGAGACACCATCTTAGGCTTTATCTTGTGGGCAATCTATGAACTGCTTGAGAACATGCTGCCCATTTCAGGCTTATTTTAGTACTGGCTTTATATTGCAAGCGCTAATCACAGTAATCTGTTTTAGTTGTTTTTGATTGCACATTCTTCTCATTTGTGATTGATGGTACAGTTAGTTTAGGATTTACCCTAAACTTAAAAGAGGCTAAGTTCTTAAAATAGACAAACCTAGAAGGTTATTTATATAGACAAAGCTAGAAGTTTATAGACAAAGAGGGAAGCTCTTAGTAAAAAAAAAAAAAAAAGCTATAAGTTTATAGATAGATAGAACTATCTATAAACTTTTATTTATAGATACGAGTATGAGTATTTGTTTAATTGAGTTAAGCTTGGTTAGTTGTTATTGAACTTGAGCTCGAACTCGAGCTCATTTTTTAAGCGTAAGGGCATCTCGTTATAGGCTCGAGCTAGTTTGGAAGAATATATTGTTGAGCTCGATTTTTTTGTTTTAAATTAATTTTTTTTAATCTTATTTTAATATAAAATTAATTTATTGTTGTGCTCGATTTTTCATTTTTTAATATAATTTTATTGCAATGCCTTGCTGCGCTTTTTACTTTTTTTTACTATAAATTGGTTTTGTAATTTTTTTTATTTTATTTTTTAAATTGGTTTTGTATACCATCAAAGGTTACAACCAAAACCAAATAAACAAAAAGAAATATTACATGACAACAGTAGAGAGAGTAGAACTTAAAAATAAAGAAGAGAAACAAGTTAGCTGGGCTCAATAATTGGCACAAGCTCCCAACCATTCAAATGTAAGGCACGGATCATCCATAGGAGGGAAAAAGCAAGAATCCGCTAAAAAGTCAACTAGTAAATAACATCAGAAATAAGGTCACCAAAAGAACAAGAAGATCTACCACCAATGGTTGCTAACAAGCAATGGAGCCCTGAACCAGGTGGTGAGCCAAAATCCTAGTCATAGCTCATAAAGGAGACTAAACATCCAAAGATCTAGCAATAAAACAAATTACTTCCTTCTAGAGTTTCTTCTTCCACGTTTGCCACCCCTCAAAGCAAAAGCTTTTTCACCACTCCAATTGTCATTTAAGATAAACATAGTCTAAACAACATCTTTATATTCAAGGAAGTCTTTCCCAACACCCCCAGGTGATGAGGAGATACTCCTCAAGCCGGTCATTTTGCTCCACACTTCAAAGGAACCACAAGGGTGAGCACCTCATTTTCCAAGATCCAAAGAGATGTTAAACAACAAAAAATCGATGGCTTGAGATCAGAAAAACAAGCCTAGGAAGAAATATTGGACTAAACATCAGCAAACGAGTGAGTTTACAAAATTCTGCGAATTCCTGGTGTTTCCTGAAAATCCGGCAGAGTTTTGGCGTCTTTAGGCGGCAGGAAGAGCTCCGGCGGCGGTGGTCGAGGAGGTGAGGAATCTCCTTTTCCCCTTTCTCCTTCTCCTTCTCTTCTTCTTCTCTCTCTTCACTTCCCTTTTCTCCCTTTGGTGTAGAATGAGGGCTCTATTTATAGTTTTTATGGAGTGGCATAGCCCGTAAATAGGAGTGAGATCAAGGGCGAATTGTGAGTGTTTTGAATGGGCAGCCGATATCGAATCCTTTAATCATGCACCGTTTGTTAGGCATTTGAAGGCCTTAATGATGTCGGAATTCGGCAATCTTGGGCTCGTTGGATTTGTCTCGTCGAGCCGTTCGATTCGAGCCCGATCAAGATAATTTTGAGATGACATATCAGTTGCCCTCCTATTTTCGGACGTCGAAACTCCATGAGTCCGAAAATATGCGTTACAAATTTTAAAGAATTTTTCCGAGTGAGCCGGAATTATTCTTGCGGATGGGGGTCTCGAATGGCCCTGAATGTGTCAAAATTGAGTCCGGGATGTCGAAAAACTTGTCCGGGGACCCCAAAAATGTCGAATTCGGACTTGTCGAGACGAAAAACAGGCCCAAAACGGACCAGGTAGCCGAACCGGCCGGCCGCCGCC